GCGGTCCGATATGGCGAGCTTCGGTGTCGATAGATGCGCAGAATGTGCAGGATGTTTCGCTTGAGGTTTAGAGGGTCTATGGGTTGAGAAACAGGTTCCAATCATGTATCAATGGAGCCTACCAAGTATGGCTCCCCGCAGAGCCTCAGTCTTGGACCCAACCATTTGCTTCGGCCAGTCCTCGTCCAAGCTTCACATGCCACCACCGTGAAACCTCAAGCTTCATACCTAGTAACAGCCTTGGAACATCCATGTCTATGCGGTGATAACCAGACTCTTATCGCTCTTATCTGAGCGGTCTGAACAGGTAGGCGCGGTGCAGCATCGTCATCGCGATGTCACGTTCTACGAGGCGGCTGACACGTCCAGGAAGCTACAACGGCGCCCCAAACCTCACACCTCACCTCTACCACGTAACGTAGACCCCACCATGGACCCGCGTTCGTGGTTCAGCAGCCTGACGGGCTACTTTGTCTATATCCTGTCCATTGCGACCCTCGGCCCGCTCCTCTTCGGCTTTCACCTGGTGGGTCCCAACGTCATGCTTGCCGGCGCATAGCTAACACGCCCAGTCTGAGCTGAACGCGCCCGAAGATGTCATCCGCTGTAAACGCAAGTCCATCACGTCGGCCGTCGATGGCCCGAACCTCCCGCAATGCATCGAGATGAGCCCAACCGAATGGGGCGTCGTGGGATCGCTATACACATTGGGAGGTCTGATAGGAGCGCTTTCGGCAGGGCCAGTGGCAGGTAAATACGGACGCCTCAGGTCCATGCAGCTTTTCTCTATCTTCTTCGCCGTGGGCCCAATCTTCGAGGCGCTGAGTCCAAACATTGGAGTCATGGCGTTTGGACGGCTGCTGTCAGGAGTCGGCGCAGGCGCGGCCGTCGTCATTGTGCCCCTCTACATCTCTGAGATTGCACCGCCGGGCGAGAAGGGCTTCTTTGGTGCCTTTACACAGATCGGGTGCAACGTGGGCATCCTGATCACGCAGTTGCTGGGCTACTTCTTGAGCCATGACTCTTACTGGAGGCTCATCTTGGCCATTGGAGGTGTCATCGGTGCTGTACAAGGCGCCGGACTGCTGCTGTCGGTCGAGAGCCCAAAGTACATCGCAGAGCAGGGTAATGTCTCGCTCGCGAAGAAGACTTTGCGCAAGATCAGGGGAGAAGATGCAGACATTGAAGACGAGATGAACGACTGGGGAGTCTCAGGCTCCGGCAACGTCAGTGGTACGTCGTCTAAGCCTCTCCATTGATGGACAGCATGCTAACACTTCTCCAGAGGAGGAGCAGACACTACTGAGCAACCAAGATGGGTCGGCTGAGGCGAGGCCCAAAGAGTCAGGCAAAGAACAGACGCTGAGCATCATGCAAGTCTTTCGCCATCCCGACTACCAAAAGGCCGCTATTGCCGTCGTCATGGTCATGCTGGCCCAGCAATTCAGCGGCATCAACAGCATCGTCATGTACGGCGTGTCGCTCCTAGCAGGCTTACTCGAGTCCAACTCCGCGCTGCTCAACCTTGCCGTCTCAGCACTCAACATCATCGTCACCGCCGCCTGCGCGCCCCTTGCTGACAAGCTGGGTCGCAAGGTCTGCCTGCTCAGCTCCCTTGCTATCATGGGAACGAGCTCGCTGCTACTCGCTGTTGGCATCATCAAGTCCATCTCCGTCCTGTCCGCAGTTGCTGTCCTGCTGTTCGTATCCGGCTTCGCTGTTGGTCTTGGCCCGGTGCCCTTCATCCTAGCGAGCGAGCTGGTGGGCCCGGATGCCGTCGATGCAACACAAAGTATCGCGCTCGGAGCCAACTGGATCGCTACATTCATTGTGGCACAGTTCTTCCCGCTGGCAAGCGCAAAGCTGCACGGATATGTCTACTTTATTTTCGCGGCACTGTCAGCGTTCTTCTTCGTTTTCATTACGTGGTTCGTGCCCGAGACGAAAGGCAAGAAGAACGCAGACGAGGTTTGGGGTAGAGAGCGTCGGGTGGATTGATCCATACGATGTTCAAGGGTTGACGGGGCCGATTCTGTCGATTCTGGTACAAGGTCGAGCAGCCCGCTACGTCACCGGCAAAGCGCCTTCGCGCAATTTCTTCACAATCCAAGCCAATTCCCTCTCTACGTAGTGGTCATCCCGAAAATGCCGAAGATCCTGAAGCCGCATTCTTGGCCGAATCAGCAATTGCCTGTGATGCACAGAAAGAGGCACTTTCGAATGCAAAGCTGAGGACACTATGGAGAATGCGTTCGCATGTGAAGGAAGGTTCTGTAGTCAGAAAATCGAAATTCTTGAGTCACATGTTCATCCCGAAAACCAGCTGTGCAATTGCTCCGACTTGACGGGTAGGCAGCCAGCCGAGTCGGGGAAATAATGGTCGGAAGCGTCTACCCCGATTCCTAATTGCTGACACAGGTGGTGTGCTTAGTGATTTTGCGCAGCCGCGGCTAGAAGGCGGCGGGTCCGAGCAGCGGCTTCGGATATGTCATTCAGTCATTCGACCCCACTGGCGCTGGAGAGTACCTCACGCCTTCAGTCTCACTTGCGATGCGATTGCAGTACTAGAGCGACTACCCGGCCCTTTCACTTGTCACCTGTGCTATTTTGTATGCCCGCTCCAACATGACCTCCTCCAACATGACCGCATTCCCGCCGCATTTCTCACCACACCTCTCGAGCGCCGGGCGAGACGGCTTCGACTTCCAGACGTCACAGCTCGAGGGAGAGACGCCGGAACGGGTCGCAAACGGCGATGAACACCACAGCCCGCCGCCGTCGATAATATCGCCCGCCTTCACGCCTCCAGCGACACCGGGCGTCTCGACCCCCTCGCGGCCCCGGCCACCCCGCTCCATACCAGTCGATACCTCAGTGCGCACCGACACACCGCGGCCGGACCTGCTGCCCAAGCTGCCCACGGTCGAGTGCGAAGTGCGTGCGCGGATACCCACAACCACGGGGCATGAGATGTGGCTGCACGTGTATAGGAACAGCGTGGACACCAAGGAGCACCTGGCAATTGTCTTTGGAAGCCAAATACGCTCGAGATCGCTGGATGCAGAGCGCCCGGGAGAGACGGAGCTAGACCGCATGACGAGAGGCGCATACGTAGGACGCCTGTACCCTGGGAGAACCAGCTCGCGGGTTGAGCAGCTCAAGAGGCAGGAGGGCGTCCCCACGAAGCGCAAGCCCGACGTCGACTCGGCGCACGTGGACAAGAGCAACGGTCTGTTGTCGCCAGCCTCTGCATCCTCATCCGAGAACGGCGACGTACAGCCAGCGTCCTCGCTAGAATTACCTATGGTCCGCATACACTCCGAATGCTACACAGGCGAGACTGTCTGGTCTGCGCGCTGCGACTGCGGTGAGCAGCTCGACGAAGCCGCGCGGCTTATGGCCGATCCTACTCTGTCACCTTCTGGTGGTGCTATCATCTATCTCCGCCAAGAGGGTCGTGGAATTGGTCTAGGCGAAAAGCTCAAGGCATACAATCTGCAAGATTTGGGCAACGACACATACGAAGCAAACATCATGTTACGGCATCCTGCAGATGCGCGAAGCTACGGCTTGGCCACGGCTATGCTCATGGATCTCGGCTTAGACGGAGACAGAGGGATTAGACTTTTGACCAACAACCCAGATAAAGTCCATGCTGTCGAGGGGCCGAATAGAGAAGTCGTCGTGAGGGAGCGCGTCGCCATGGTTCCGCTTGCGTGGAAGACAGGCGGCATGAAGGGCATCAAGAGCGAAGAAGTAGAGAAGTATCTTAGTACCAAGGTGAGCCTACGCCAGATTGCGACACTTCGAGATTCAAAATTTGCTGACAATAATGCAGATCGAAAAGTTCAAGCACATGTTAGATCAGAAATAATGGCATTTAGATGGTTGACATCGTATTCCTCAGTTTCCGTCGCATCCGATAATGTGATCTGCTAGACGATCAACGGCGCTGACGTGGGGCGCAGACGACCGCTCGGCCGCTCTGAAACCACTAAAATAATCATAACCTGCTTCACCTCACCGCGCCGCATCTGCGACCTGCGCCCCATCCTTCGCTTATCCTTGATTTTCAGACTCTCTTCGCGTATATAGCGGGTCGTCCATGATCTTGGTTACGGCCATCATCCCGACAGCATGGCGAGCCCCCGAGACGATGCAGCGGAGAATCCCTTCCTCAGTCCAGCGGATGGACGCAGCATGAGGAGCTTCACCGCCGACTCCAAAAGTAAGGCGACCCCCCTGATTTGTCTGCGTGAAATGCTCAATTTGGTTAGATAGTTCGAGGAGCATGCTGCCACTTTTATACACCCAAGGCCTACTTGAACCACAACGAAGCGGATATTCAATAACACTACTATTGACGTCATTATACTCGACTTTATGTTCGGCCTTGTTCTTCATCGTCGCCTTGATACAGCCAAAGTACGGACATGTCGTATCAGCACGTGGGCGATTTTCCCCTTCCTCGGCGGCGCTATTGACAGCTTTCATCGCCAAGACTGTCGAGCTATCGTTCGTGATGGTATTCTTGGCGTTCATAGGGCAGGTCCTGTCGCGAAGAGCTATTCAGCAGAAAGGCATCAATTTGGCTAGTGTGTCGATGCGATCCTGGATTCTGTAAGTTGGCAGCGTTTCGGGCCAGCGCTCACGTTGGCTGATTTTGGGAAGTCAACCAGGGAAATTATTCAGCGGGTGGCACAGCGTTAGGGTCGCTGGCTTCAGTGTATTGGGAGTTCTCTCACTGATTACGGCCATTCTCTCTCTACTATACACAACCGCTGCAGGTGCTCTTGGTATGCCAGTACTCTTGGTCTTTTACCATAGATCGCTAACACATCTCAGTGCAACCACAGCTACGCCTCCCGCCTTGGGAGCATCAAATGCTTGCTGGTCAAGTAGATGGCGACTTCTCCAGCACCTTGAAAGCTGATAAGACTTGTCTCACTGCCTGGCCTGATGTCGGCGACACACAATGGGGCGGTAGCACATGTCTCGCCATGAAGTGGTCTTCGCTCTGTGGCCGCAACTTTATCAAATACATGTCCGCATGGGACGATCAAGCAGCTGCAACAAACCCTGCTTGGATGTCTGAGCGCCTTCTGGAACGAAAGCCGATCAGCGCATCGCTAGATAACAATGTCACTGTTACTACTGCGTGGCTTGACGATCATGACGTCGCAACTGAGTCTGAAAAGGCAGGCAGGATAAGTTCGTGGCCGAGATTCCTCTGATCTTACGTCGCTAACCTAGTATAGTTAACAACATCACTATAGCCGTCCCCCACCGAGGGATACCGGCAGCAGCTCGCAATGTCCAGAATGATTTGCTGCAGCCAGAAGTAGGTAGATTATACATGCCAGATTCATACCATACTAATCTTTCCAGGATCTGCATGATGGCGGCTCATACTCTATCCATGCTTCGGTCGCTAGCTTCGCACTGAACGCACTATGTGTCAATGCCAAAGAGGAGGAGCTAGCTCCACTCATATATACCAATTGGCCCAATGCAATTCCCATGGAAGAAGGCTCGAAGTCTGTCAACTGGTGGCCCATCCTAGGATTTCCAGAAGGTACCAACACGAACAACAAAACGGTACTTGATGATGTGTTTGGTTGGAAGGACGAGACGGAAGATCACTCACGTGCTAGACCAAGTAAGTCCGGTCCTCTGCATGGATGATTTGTACTAACGTCACACAGTTTTTCTCAAGTACCCCAAAGCAGGAAACACAGTAAGCGGGCTCGACTAAATCAAAAGATGATAGACTAATCGGGTAGATCGCAAACCACACTCAAGTACCGTACGAGCTCGGCGACCGACCAGAAGTCTACCTGCTCGGCAAAGCACCCGACAACACCACCAAAGACTACTTCCTCTGCTCTATGAAAGCCGGCATCACGACTTCCTGCACTACACGCTACAACGCCTCATCCGGCGGCCAAAGCCTCGAAGCCGTCTGCGACGACGCAAACGGAAAGCACAGCGACGACTCCGCCATCCAACCCCTCCGTTCCACCGGCGACAGAACAGCCCTAGTAGGCTGGCGCGACCTAGGTTTCAACCTCCTCAACTCCCTCAGTCTAAACAACGGAGTCTTCGACGGCGACGCCTCAACAGCCCGTATATTCACCCAACTCCAACTCACAGAACCCAAGCTCAACAAAACACTACCGAGTCCCGCAGAAGCACTCCTAAGCATGACAACATGCACCGTCCTAGACCTAACCCAAAACTTCCCCTTCCAACCCTTCTCCAACACCTCCGCCGACGACTTCACGACCCCTCAAATGCAGTACTTCAACGCTTCCGTCCGAGTAGCACAGTACATGTCCGGCGGCGAAAAGAGCTACCAGAAAGCGCTCCTCGTTGTCCTCGCTCTCACACTCCTCATCAACATCTTCATCCTGATCTACTTCGCCGTGCTGCTGCGCATCAAACTCATCACGGATTTGTGCGAGCCGCTTGTACTGTTTGTCCTTGGATACCATTCTCCGCCGTCGGATGGCCTTTTTGCGGGAAGGCCGCAGGAGGGGCCGCAGAAGAGGGATTTGCAGGTTGATTGGATTGTTAAGAGGAAGGGGGAGCAGTTGGTTGTTGTAGGCATGGGGGAGAGGGATGGGGAGTTGGAAGGTGAAGGGATAGGGAGGGGGAGAGGGGGGGTTGGGGGGTGGTTTAGGATGAGGAGGAGAGGGGGAGGTGGAGGGGATGGGGATGGGGAGGAGGGGTCGCCGGAGGGGCTTAGGCCGTAACAGACAGGGATGTGAAGATGGCTGCCTTGCCGTTCTTTTTCAACTGCGTACAACCCATCTATCTTTATCCAGACGGTTTCTTGCTGCTGGCTGTTGGTCTGGTAGTGGCTGGTCCAGGCCGGGCTAGTTCACTCACGCCCCACTTTTGGCAAGTGTGGCTGAGCGCACGCCACAGACGTATGTCGTGCGCTTCCCCTTCAGGCTGGATTGCCGCCTGAGGATATACTTGCTGTTGTGCCGACACTTCCGGTACTCTTTCTTGTTACTTCTCTGCTGTTGATATACACCTGGCACATCCCCTCAGCCTTGTTATCGTCGTCTACAGCCACATCAAAACCCTCAAAGCCACAATCAAAGCCATTTATACCAACATCCGGGCTCGATAGCAATCTCCTGATTTATTATCCTTCTCTGGACGACATGACATGGCACCACTAAATCAATTCGAACCGTCGCCCGAGTCGATGCAAGTCAGCGGCTTCTACGGCCCTGGCGCCTGGGCCGCGTGGATCATCACCATGTTTGCATCGTGGATACATCTCTTCCGAGACGACTACACGCACAACCTCCACTTTATCGGTTACGCACTATATACGGACTGGGCTGCAATCGACCTCATACGACACGTTATTCCAGCCGTTTGGCAAGACCAGCACGATCTCTCGGACCAAGACCGCGCACGGTTTGACAATATTGCTGCTTCCATTGCGGTGATACAGCTTGGAGTATACCAGGCCTTTGCGCAGCAAGTAATATTCACTGTTAATGGGCTATACGAGCATGAGCCCATTGCTCATGCGAAATTGAAGGCTCGACGTCGCTCCATGATCTTGTGCGTTGGATCGATGCTTCCAGTTTCCTTCGTTCTTGTTGCGTACCTTTTTTATGCTAGTGTTACGGTAGCTCCGCAGATGCTCTACCTGACTGACTTGCCCGCACGGTGTTACTTCGTTCCTTGTGCGCCGCAGGGTATTGGGGAATGGGACCAGGCCTTTGCTTTGGTAGTTGCTTTGTACTTTTTCTTGTATGAGTTTGGGTATGAGATTTTTCGCATTGTCAGAAAAGCAGCTCAAGGTGTGTGGACAATCTGGCAACGAGTTGCGAAGTAGCGCAGGAAATATACGAACGTTTCATCCACAGTTATCCAGAAGTTTCTTGCTGCCAGTTGTCGGTTCGGTGGTGGCTATTCCACGCTCTTGCAAACGTATCCTCCTAGCTCAGCTTCATGGCGGCCGCTAGCTTAGTAGGCCCTCTGTCTGCAAACCTTATTGGCAATGAGGTTGGCCCAAATTCTCTTTGGATAGTTTTACCCCCCTCCGTAAAGCCGTCATCATCAAAGCTATCGCAATCGTATCGTATAACAAGATACTATCACAAACTCTAGTTCAAGCTAAGACCAGGTTTCAGTTTGAGTCAAAGGTGCACTCTGTTCTTGGTTGAAGTCGCGCCAGGGGAAGGTGCAGGTCACTCAGCCCCCACGCTTTGGCGAATGTGGCTGAGCGCAAGCCACACACGTCGATAGTGCATGTCTGCATCAGGCTGAACTGTCGCTGGGATGTTTGTTTACTCTCAATTATCGCCAACTTCAATTTTGTTACTTGTGCATTATCCACATTTACGCCGTCCGGAGCTTTACGACACAACTTGAAAGTGTGGTGGCTCACTCACGACCGCACCTGCCGAATCCCGACGATCAGCCTTGTTATCACTCGCTTATGCTCAGACTGCAGCCTAATCTTACTTCGCGCTGGCCATTGAACCCTCTTAAACCACATCAAACTACGGCAATCGAAGCCACGGTCTCAGCCATCTCCACGAGAGTCCGAAACCGATAGCAAACTCTGGCTTTTGTCTGTTTCCTGGAAGGCATAGCAACACTGTAACAGTCTAACGCATCTGTCGAAATGTCCGAATCCCCCGACTACACCCAAATCAACGGGTTCTACGGTTGCGGAACGTGGTGGGCATGGGTGATTACCCTAATCGCCTCATGGATACCCATTCTGCGGAAGGATTACAAGAACAACCTGCACTACATCAGCTACGCGCTATACACGAATTGGGCCACTATTGATCTCATACGCCAGGGCTCGCCTTCTGCTGAACATCGGACTTTTCGAGAGATGAACGATGCCCAGTTGCAGAGTCTCGTCGCGGCTGAAGCGGTGGTACGAGTCGGCATCTTCCAAGCATGTTTGCAAATCGCAACGTGCCGATACATTGCGACGAACAAAGATGCCGATACCAAGAAGAACATCACGCGGCGTCTTCGGTGCATCGCCATCGGCTTAATACTCCCAGTATTGACGGAATTCTTCCTTGTGCCATACTACCATAATGTCCTGGCTGGCCATAGCACGTCTGGCTATCTCAAAATCACAGTAGCTGCTCTAGTGGCAACTTACATGTTCTTGACTCAGATTTCGGCTTCCTTGAGCAGTACATATGCTTTATCGGACCTTGTTTACTACGCATTCGTCCCTTCGTCGCTTGTTTCCTTGACGAATTGGAGCTATTTCACTGATAGTAATAAAGAGTTAAGGAGTATGTGTTTTTACATTCCATGTGCTCCACAGAAGATTGGAGAATGGGATCAAGCCTTTTCTTTAGTCGTTGCTTTGTTCTTCTTCTTGTACGAGCTTGTAGATTGGGCGGTTCAAAGTATGCGGGAATTTGGGCAACAGGCAGTGGAGTAGCTGAACCAAACGCTCATTTGAAACACTGCAATGTAGTCTATGTTTCTTACAGCGGATTACGATATACTAACTTACGCGAACGAAATGATCACCAGAAGTATGTTGTGTCACGAAGATGAGAAGACATGATGGTTCTCATTCAGCACTGAGTTCAGTGCAAACACCTCACATTTGCTACTGACGGATACGCAGCCATTCTTCCGAAAAGTATGTTCTACCTCAGTGCCTTCTATATCTAGCAAGGAATGTAGATAGTACAGTAAGAAGTCGACACGCTCACCGTCCCAGAATCAATGTTACTAGTAACCACACCCTCAGTATCCGCCCCATTGTACGTAATAGTGCAAATCTCAAAGTGGTTGCTCGCGGTGTTATACGCAGTGTGGAACGTGACATCGCCTTGGGTATGGCAGTCTGCTCCCGACACGGTGTTGGTGGCGCCATTGAAGTTGTTCACGTTGGCGTCTCCGTTGGCGTAGACTTGGTTGTCGTTGACATCGTAGCAGTAGATTCCTCCGCCGGTGATGTCGACAGGCACTTGGCCGGGGCCGCCGCCGCCGTAGGAGTGCGAGGCTTCGGCTTCGACTTTGCAGCGGGTTACGCCGTCGGCTTGGCGGAGCTGGGAGGAGGGTTAGATGGATGGCTTTACAGGGTTGTCGCTTTGTTCCTAGGAGAGGCACTTACGGCGAGGTTGTTGGTGGGCGCAGCCATTGTGGTGGTGATGGCGGTTGCGAGTACCATCGCAAGGGAGTTTACTGAGAACCTGGGTTCGAGTAAGTGATGTGTGCATTGCGGGATTGGAATGCCCAACATACTGCATGATGGCGGTTTTCGTGTGTTGGTCTGTCGTAGCTGAGATACTTGATTGTGTGATTGTATGGAGAGTGATACAATGTTGCTGTGAGATGCTTCATCAATTCGCGGTCGAGCACCTCCCTTTATAGATGGCTTTGAAGTCAGCATTGCTCGAAATCGTCGATCGACCCGAATTGTTCATGTCATGTCATGCCACCTACGTCTTTCTTTCCCGTAAATCCCACTTTCTCCATAGAATGCAGCATACGTGATCTACATGGACTGAGCTTCTCCGTCGAGTGATCAAGTGGAACTGTCACGCCGTCAGCCTCGCAGGTCCAATGAGCATTGCCTGTTGCCAAAGGCGTGTATCAGCGAAGCCTGAGATGGAAGGTACAAATTATTCAACTCGTCAGAGTGCATTTGACGTAGTAGTGAGCAGGTAGATCTACATCTAGTGACATACTTCATCCTGTAAGGCCACCTGCTAGAACCCGAGATCGCCAGCCGTTCTAGTGTACCACTCAGGTATTCGGTATAGCACGTGGTTGTTTGACCAGCCTATTCCACTTGACATGTCCAATTTAGTCAAGCAAGGCCAGCGTGGTGCGGCCTATGTAGATTGTATTGATCTTATTCTTGGAACGATCTTGTGCGGAAAGCAACAAGCTCTGTACGAAGAATACAAGCTTTTCAGACCAAGGAAGTCAGTACAGTCCGTTGCGCAATTGATCTGCTTCGTACATTCCCTGCCGGCATTGGTTCCGCGAGTATACGGTCGTATAGAAGGGATCACCCGCTATTGCCGTTAGTATGCAGACGATGGCTGCATCCGACGCTAACGTGCTGTCCTAGATTCTCTGGAGAGTTGTGGGTATGAGAAGTATCGCCGTTTGGGAAAGCGGCGTTCATGTCCGTGGCATGGCCTCCCGTAGTATTGACTTCTTCATCGTAGCCGGGAATGTAGTGCACGTAGCGTTACATTTGGCGAATGAAGTGAAATAGATACATCGACAAACATACGGGCTGGGAGAACCGGTAGCTAACTTCGTCAAAAGTATGCACTGTTGTCCGATCAACAATACCTAGGTAGAAGGAAATCGAGCATCAGAGGCCCTCGAGCTCATTTCCCAGGAATGGACGTAGTACAAAAGTGCAAAGTCTGGTAAGAGACCAGATGAGTTTTGAAGAGACCAAAAGCGTGTCGATTTACGCGATGTAAAATCCCGGGATGAATTCCGCGATACATCGGGTACTACTTAGCAAGGCTGTCAGGGGAATGCAGTCCCCACATATTCGCATAACTATCTCGTTCGAGCCTAGCAGAACTAGTATAGCGCCAAACGGGTCGAATCGGATATGGGATACGCAGATCCGATGTATCGGGTACATGCTAATTGATCAAGATAGTGATGAGTGACGTACCTCGCATCTTCTTGTTTGTGCGCTCGTCTCGTGATGATCCCATTGCAATGATTTTGATGGTACTTTGGGTGACGTACCTCGCTGCTTCGTGGTTGCTTTGATGCCCAATGTCGTTCAATGATGGCAATGACGTTCCTTCACTACGCCTTACGCGAAGCAGCCGAGCGCCTCACAACTTTCGAAATACATCTGCACCCATCCAATCAGGTCCTCTCGAACGAGAAGTATCATCAACATAGAAACTTCACTATCCCGTAGAAGATTGAGAAGACTACCTAGGTAGGAGGAATAACATTAACTTCGTTCCACCAGTAACAAACATCCACCCCCCAACCACATTCCCTCACGCACACTCCTTTGCAACCTGCCCAAGCACCTTCTCATACTCCGCCACAGTCTTCGCCCCTACAAGCGTAAAGTCCCTCTTCCTGCCCTCGAAAATAACATACGGCACGCTATCCACTCCATTCCCAGCCTGCTCCCTTATCGCCGCTTTCGTCTCCCTCAACTCCTCCTCATCGTCTTCCACCAACTTCACTGCTTCCTCTTCACTCAGCCCAGCTGCCGTGCACGCTTTAACCAACGTTTCATAACTAGATGGATGGGCGCGCTGCTCAAAATACTGCGTATACAGCGATTTTACTGCTTTCAGTGCAGTACCATCCTCTTTGTTATTCTGCAAATACTGCAACACACGATGCGCATGCAATGTATTCGCCACGACCCCACCCCCAAAATCAAACTCAATCCCCTCTTGTTCACCCAAATCGCCCATGACGGTCATGTACTTGTTCATGCGGTCTTCGCTGCCGTCGTACTTTTCGTTCTTGTACCATTCATATTTGTTGACGCCTTCTTGGGTGGCGTCGGGGTAGAGTTGGTAGGGTGCTAGTTTGAGGGTGAATGTTGCTGGGGAAGAGGGGTTGGTGGAGCGGTAGTTGGCGAGGGCTTTGTTGAGGCGGATGAAGCCTAGGTATGTCCTGTGGTAGAGTGAGGATTAGGTGAAGGTGTTGGAGTGGCGCGAAGGGTGGGTGGATGTACCAGGGACATATTGTGTCGAGCGTGAAGGTTATTGTTGACTCGTAGGGCATGATGAACGTAGTATAAGAAAAGACTTTACTTGGTTGCTGTTTGCCTTGTAAGAGTCTGCGGCTTGAAAGAGTTACTCCAAGACACCTTGAAGATGCTCGCGAGGTTGCAGGGGTTCCACTGCTCCATGTCTCCGGCACACGTCATGCGGGGTGCGACGGAAAGATCACCGCCTACTGCACGCTAGTCCACTCCAGCATCGCATGCTAGCAACCCCAATACGAACAGGAGCTTTGCGACAAGGAACTACTCAGATTGGAATGGACGGTACCCAGAATAGGATTGAAGATTAGTCTGAACAATGCAAATACATGTGCTGATCGCTTAAATCTAGCACGGAAGTCTAACGTAAACCCCGAACGATGCTGTAAACGCAACATTGGCAACACCATGCTTCAACAGGTGTGGCCTCGTAACCGCAAGGTGGGAGATGGGGGACTGAATCCCTAATTCAGTTTGACGTAGTTCCCTGAAATGTGGTTAGAGAAACCCAAGCTTCACGCGAATCAATTTACGTACCTGGGAATTGTCCCTGCTTCCCCCGTACCTTTCCAATCCACCACTCATTATCGTTCTGCGTCCTTGAAACAATTTCTATCACGTCGCCTGTCAGGAAGCTCAGGTCACCTTCCGCTTGCGCCTCGTAGTCGTACAGAGCTGTAACGGTTTCGGTCGCCGGGACACCGCTGAGACGTGATGGCTTCGGCTTTGGTGGTGGTGGCGCGCCCTTGGCCTTAGCAGCAGAGCCCCACGAACCTGCTGATAGCGTCGGGGATTTGACATCTCCAGTAGCTGCAGATGGTCCGGCAGAGTAGGGCGGAGGAGGTGTTTCCGTCTCTTCCGATATTGAACTTCGGCCTGCCTTGGCTTCAAGAGCTTTCGTTGCGTATTTTGACTGGCCTGGACGTGCGCCAGCGACACGAGCCCCTCCTGTAGTCTTGAACTTCACGATGGAGATCTTCTCCGCTTCCTCCTGTGTGTCGCCACGCTTCTTCTGGTAAGCAGCCTCGATGTCCAGAGTAAGGTCGAAGTAGCCGATGTCGAGCCGTTGCATGCGCTCGTGCAGTGTGTAGAAGACGTTCAGTTGCATGTAGTAGAAAGACTGGAATAGAGGCTTGATGAACTCTCTTTCCAGCGTGAACAGCTTCGGTAGCTCGTCCTTCAGCAGATCATTGAAGTAGTTGTAGTCCTGTGTAGCCTGTTCCACGTCGTTATCGGCCTTGTACATGGCCTTCTCATCCTTTAGCGTCTTGTCCTTCTTCTCTTCGAGCTTCTTGTATGCGGCGCGATGTCTGTCATAGTCGAGTTGCTTGTGGTCGCGCTTGGCGGCGATCTTTCGTACGGCCTTGATAATGACTAGCAGCTCGTCCGCCGGGCGAATAACCCGGGATTCTATCATCTCAAGCTCGGGCTTGAGTGTTTCCTGCAGTTCCCTGACGACTGTCTCGTACTGTTCGCATGCTTCTATGCCTGCCGTGTTGCCTTCGTCGAGGAATGAATCGGGATCTGACATTCGGCCGGAGATGGGCTTGTAGATTTCGGCGATCGCTTTCGAGAACTCCATCTGATGTGAGAGCATGCCTGCGAAGTGGGTTAGGCGGAATCGCGTGGGGCTGCATGTTGTTTACGCACCATTTATGGCTTCGAAGTACCTGTCGCATGTTAGCCAGGGTCGCAACTAGGACTGTGTCGCAACAGGCGCATACTTCTTGGACTCGTCATGGAGTTTCTTGGTCTCCTTCTCCAGCTCCTGAAAGCGGCGTTCGGCATCGGTGTAGATGGGGTCCTTGGTGATTTCGCCCTACACGCCCTGTTAGCAAGGCCCAATCGTACTCGGAAGCAGGCGCGTAGAGGGGAGAGCCCCTGAAGACCTTCGCAGAATACGTACGAGGTTGAATCTTTGCTTGAAGGTTTGGGGCGCCTAAACCATCATGTTAGCACGTGTTGATGCCCGAAGGCCGTGTAAGGTCGCCTGTCGTACCCGGGTGACGGTCTTTGTTAGGCCTTTCCAACTCATGGTGGGGGTAAGTCTGTAAGTCTGCTGGGAATTGATACACAGTAGGGATCAGGAGGCGCCGTGGAGACTGCAGATGTAAGCCAGCAGGAAGCAGCCGAACGATGCGGGCGCCGGCGTGGCTGCTAGAATCGTCGATGACGTCGCCTGTGGCTATGCCAGCCAACTGCCCACGGCTGCCGGATGTCGCGGAGCGCCGAGAGCGAAAACGAGCACGAGTGCAATTACTTCTCGCCAAGAGTGAATGATCCGCTGCGGCTAGTGCACGAGAAACCCAGGGCCAAAAGCTGAGAGCAGCATGCGGTCGCGTGAACGACTATCTTGTCGTGCAGGCAAACAATGAACCATGCATGACGAGTGGACGATGTGGCCGTGAACGCTGGGGGCCCATTTAGTAAGCAGATCCGTGCGCTAAAACTTCATAGCTTCTAATACCTCGGGAGGCAATTTGCTCTCCCAACCCCAACACTCCAATTCTCACCATGTCTAACATTGCACCCACCGTCGCGAGGCAGGCCCTGCGCATTGCCTCTCGTCGATACCCTTCATCTGCTTTCTCCCGTGTCTCGAGCATCCGTCGTCACTATGTCTCAGAGTCCAAGCCCGCGCAGGCGACCGTCTCCAACGCCTCCCATCTGGACTCAGCCATCAAGAAGGAGCAGCGGAGTTTCCTCAAGGAGACGGGAGAAAGAGCAGAGGATGCGACCATGCCAACAACAGGCATGAGCGCTGATGCCATGATGAGTCCCACTGCTGGTAGGCCAGAATTCACGCCACCCCGCTTTCCGCGAAGCTGACAATATCAGGCATACTCAAGCAAGCAACCGTCATGGACCAGGGCTCACGGCCTATCTACCTAGACATGCAAGCCACGACCCCAATGGACCCACGAGTAGTAGACAAGATGATGCCATACATGACCGGCATGTACGGTAACCCCCATTCGCGAACCCACGCGTACGGTTGGGAGACCGACAAGGCCGTAGAGGATGCCCGCGCGCACATCGCCAACCTCATTGGTGCAGACCCCAAGGAGATCATCTTCACCAGCGGTGCTACCGAGAGTAACAACATGAGTATCAAGGGCGTAGCTCGCTTCTTTGGGCGTAGCGGCAAGAAGAAGCACATCATCACAGCACAGACCGAGCACAAGTGTGTGCTTGACAGCTGTAGACATTTGCAAGATGAGGGCTTCTCCGTCACTTACCTGCCAGTAGGAAACAACGGCCTGATCGACATGGCCCAGCTCGAGGCCGCCATGCGACCCGATACCGCCATTGTCAGTATCATGACTGTCAACAACGAGATTGGTGTTGTACAACCCGTTGAAGAGATCGGAAAGCTCTGTCGGTCGAAGAAGATCTTCTTCCACACCGACGCGGCGCAGGCTGTCGGCAAGATCCCAATCGACGTCAACAAGATGCATGTCGACTTGATGTCGATATCAGGCCACAAGATCTACGGTCCCAAGGGCGTCGGCGCATGTTACGTACGAAGACGGCCTAGGGTCAGGCTCGACCCCATCATCAGCGGCGGTGGTCAAGAGCGAGGACTGCGAAGTGGCACACTAGCACCTCCTCTTGCCATCGGTATGGGCGAAGCCGCACGGATCTGCAAAGAAGAGATGGAGGTACGTACTCTCTGCCTTTACTATCACGAACACTATGATTATTTGCTTTATACATGCATGGCTTTCAGAGCGTTAGGCGGCTTCGGTCGTCGACGCGCCATGTTGACACATGTGCAGGGGTTATGAGTTCCTTATCACACATTGTTTTGGTCACATCGGTTTTGTTCGGGCTTTGCTGATAATGGCTAGTATGACACAAAGCGCATCTCTGCGCTGTCGAACCGTCTCCTCGAAGGCCTGCTATCGCTCGAGCACACCACACTCAACGGTGACAGGGAGCGACACTACCCCGGCTGTGTCAATGTTTCATTCGCCTACGTCGAGGGTGAGTCACTTCTCATGGCGCTGAAGGACATTGCCCTGTCTTCGGGCAGCGCTTGCACATCGGCGTCGCTCGAACCCAGCTACGTCCTGCGGGCACTTGGCAGCAGTGATGAGAGCGCGCACAGCAGTATCCGCTTCGGTATCGGACGCTACACTACAGACTCAGAGATCGACTACGTCTTGAAGGCTGTCAAGGAGCGCGTTACCTTCCTCCGCGAGTTGAGCCCGTTGTGGGAACTCGTGCAGGAGGGTGTCGACCTCAACACGATCGAATGGAGTCAGCATTGAGCGAAGTAGTTGTTTGATACCCCGGCGAAACTTGTAAAATATAATGACGTACATTCTTTGGCATCAATGCCCACGCTCGTTGTAGCGGTTACGAGAAACACGATTACATAGCAATGTACTATACGCAATAGCTCTACATAATGAAATGTATTGAGCATGTACACATACTCTTGACGAATTCCTCATATGTGATGCATGCGCAGATTGTCCAAGTGAAAGACTGAGTGCCAGCCTACGTACGGCACGGCAACTATGTGAAGCATAGAGGGGCAAGTCGTTGGGCATTGCCAAGGTGTTGAGGGGTTCACCTTGGGAGAGGTGAGGACCGTGCTCCATTGGCCATCGTCTAACCTGGTGCTATCATCGATCAGTTACAACATGGCCAGCGAGAAAGTACTCAACTGGCTGTACAGCGTTCTCGTCAATGTAATTTCGCTCGCGACAATCATATGGTATGCGCTAATAGGCTTCAGGAATACTCAGACGTAAATCGCACATATCACGACGCGGCCGAGGCACTGTCCAACTGTACGTCACATGCGTCGCAGCTCCACGACAGCTATACTAACTTTACACCAACGTCCAGACCCGTCGCTTTCACCAAAGACGGAACCATACACGTACGAGAATGGCTCCTCGGCGCTCCTCTTGCTTCTCAGCGGCACGCTGCCGGTCACGTTTCGCGGCGCAACATACGGCTTCCCGGTAGCGATATGGGTGCCTCAGTCGTACCCCCGAGAGCCACCCATTGTATACGTCACGCCGGCGCAGGACATGGTGCTAAGACCCGGACAACACGTGAGCACCGACGGCAGGATATACCACCCGTATCTGGCACAATGGGCGAAGTACTGGGATGTGAGTACCGCATGCGCTCTGAAAGCTGCTGAGCGAAATGCTCAATCTTGGGTCACGGCAGCTGATGTGTGCGCAGAAATCTACACTGTTCGACTTCCTAGCCGTACTAAGAGGCGTCTTTGCGAAAGAGCCACCCGTGCGATCGCGGCAACAACAGCCGCAATACAATGCGCCGCAGCAGCAAGCACCCCCTCCAGTACCCCCGCCGCCAGCCGAATGGGGCCGCTCAGTACACGGCACTCCAGGCGCATCCTCGTCCCCGGCTCCATCGAACCAAGCGCCAGCGCCCCCTCCAAAGCCGCCGAAGCCACATGAACAAAACCGCTCCACGCCCCAGACACCACACGACCGATACTCGCAACCCCCTCCTCTGCCACCCCACCCTCCACAACATCCGCAGTCGCAGCAGTCGTACCAGCAATCTCAGGGCAGTAGATACGATGCGCCGCAGAGGTGGCAACCGCAGCCTTCAGGTCCACCATACGCGCCCAATCGACAGAGTGGCTATGGTCAAGGCCCAGCGACTTCAGGCTCGGGTCCTCAACACCCGCAAATGCACGCGCATGGTTACCCTCCACAGTCAGTACAGAACGGCAGCCCCGTGAGCCCCATGACACCAAATGGCCAACGAACGGCTGCCCAGTTCTCGACATCAGGGCCCCCACAGCCCCCAAACTTCCAGCAATCACAACAGTACCAGGGCCCACCACCCCAGCAGCAGTATGGGCCACCTCCACCACAACCACAGCAGTATCGACAGCCGCCACAGGGTTACCCGCCACAGCAACAGGCTCCTTTCCAGCAATACTCACATGCACCGCCTCAGCAACCGCCACCAGCTCCAAAGCCCCCAATCGATCTTCTCGATGACTCGCTCGAAGTCACCCTACCGTCACAGTCCGGCAATCAGGTCCCATTGCCAGTACCACCTGTTCCACCAAACCCTGAGAAGGACGCCCTTCTCCGGGCCTTGAGCCAAACGCTCGTGTCGCAGATCCGACAAACAGTTTCCTCCAACATGGCTGCGGTAGCACCACTTCGCGCGCAACAAGCCGCCTTACAGACTGCATACTCTAGGTTACAGTCGGAACTGGGCGAACTCCAGCAGCTTGACGCGGCGCTTGCGTCGAACGAACAAGTTTTGAAGGGCGCCATGGTCGAAGCAGACCGAGTCATGGAGGATGCGCGCAGAAGAAAGGCACCAGATGTGGATGATGTCTTGGTAGCCCCGACAATAGTTGGAGGGCAGCTCTACAGTCTTGCTGCGGAAGAGAAGGGCATTGCAGACGCATTGTTTGTACTGGGTAGAGCTTTGGACAAGGGGCGGGTCAGTACTGATGTCTTCGTCAAGGTAAGTGCATCTTCTGCGACATCGCTCTAAATGGAACATGGCTAACATAATTACAGCAAACTCGAAGTCTTGCTCGAGAACAGTTTCTGAAGAAAGCACTGATCAAGAAGATCGCTAAAGGCATGGCACTAGATGAGTACCAGATGCATTAAACTCTGTTCTGCAAACTCTCAATCAAGTTCATACAATGGAGTCATGATACTTTCTCGTGCTATATATGCTGAGCCACATGTCAGGTTCTTCCTCTCCAGCGACTGGTAATCGTGATGTGAAGGCTGGCTGCCGACCTCTGCATATTGTCGATGTGTTTCGTCACGAGATACTCTGGCAAACAAAGAGAATTATGCTGATGGTGGTATTTGATTATTATTAAGATGTTACGCTACGCTTCGCTACACTACGCTGGGATAAATCATTTAGGGGTATATCTGAGATCGTAGCCTCTGGAAAGGCATCATATCGCATCGTTACTGTGCGGTTTTACTGGGAGAACCTGCTGGGCGAGTTCCTACCGAGGTACTTCCTGTCCTCCAAATCCTCGTAAGAGTCAGGCGACATTCCCTTCTCCAAGGCGACGGCCTCGGCGTCAGTCTTGTTACCCAAGCCCTTGAGGTCAACGAGGTTGATATCGCTATCAGTGCGTTCCTTCTCCAAGCGGTAGTGACCGAGCTGGCTACGGGGTGTGCTACCAACTGTAACGGTCGTAGCAGCAGAAATCTTGCTGAGCTTGCTGAACTGGCCGCTGCCGTTGCTTCCGTTGCTAGCGCTCTTGGAGTTCTGAGTACCCATGCTGGAGCCCATCTTCTGGAGGAGAGAGCCCATGGACATCATGATGCTGCCCAGGCCGGCCAAGCTGAGCACGGATCGGATCTTGGGAAGGCAGCATGCGATGAGAGCGACGTTGGTCTCGACGACGGTCCAGAATAGACCGTGCGAGGTTATGCCGATGATGTCGTAGGTGGGCATGCCCATGATGTACTGTTCGTCGAGGGCCGCGGATGGTGTGTTCTGCTTGATGCAGATGACCATGCGGACAATGGCGGAGGCGACGGCGAAACCTCCGAGTAGGAAGACACCGCACAGCTGGATCTTGCGTACGGTGGGCATTTGGAGACGCCAGATCTGTTCGCGCAATGATTAGCCGCCTGTCTATCTGATTCGAGATCGTGTAGACTTACCCATGGGAGTGGCAGAAGCAAGATGCAGAGATCGAACACAGCGTCAAGAACCGTGAAGGTGATGGTCGCCTCAAATCCGAACGGACAGTTCTCCGCGATGCTAGCAAGAGAGCCCCAGTTGGCAGCAAAGTTCAAGCGGCAATCGAAGATGAAGCCAAAGAAGAACGCGATGGTGAAAGCAACGGTGAGGACGATGAACACGAGCGAGGTCCATTGGAAACCAGGCCATGTGAAGATGCGACGGTACAGGAACAAGAAAGCGAGTTTCGTGAAGCCGATAGCCAGCGGCTGCATGATGAAGATCATGTACACACACTGTCGCAGTGTTAGTCCAGCAGGAAAGACCAGCCGAGAACAGGGGAACTAACCTTCTCCAAAATTACTAAATCTGGTGTCGTGCTGTAGATCCAGCCTTCGATGTTGCTAGGGTCATTGTGGCCGCCGATAATGCCCTTAGCAGCACCTATCAAATAGTCAGCCAAGAGGAAGGCTTGGATGTGCTTGGCTGCATCTTACCATAGATCAGAACAGTGGAGACGCCGATGGTTGGGATGAGAGCGAGGAGGCAGAAGAGGTCGTCGAGATGCTTGCTGAGACGCGTCTCTCTGCTTTTACCGGCCTTTTGTATCGCTACGCCTATTCGCAGAGCAACGAAAAGGACAGTCAAGACGGTGAGAGCGATGCCAGTAGCAAGGCACGAGGTAACGTTGATGTATGTGTAACCCATCTTGGCGGCGGTATAACGAAGGACTCGGAAGGAGTAACCGAGGATACTCTCAAGAAGGAGAGAACTCGCAAGTATGATATGCTCGAAGGAGAGACTGATGGTTGGCCGTGATGATGAGTTTTGCCGGTGGTGATCACGCGAGGTTATGTAGACATGGCATTCACAGGTATGGAGAGGACGGAGGGAACTCCTTCTCAGAAAAACTGCATGTCTACACCCTCACCCTTAGCTAGGTACCCGGTAGTGGCCCAAAGGTGTTCAGCTCGATAGTCGTGCGCAAGGCTGGCACAGAAGCGCCGTTGGGCACGAAAAGTGACGCACATAAACCCCGAGCACATGGCTATTTTCCCAGCAACGACATGCGGAAGATCTCCCGCGCTTCGGTCTAGAAGCGGCCCCTGATGCGAGTCTGGAGAAAGGCGTTGATTCGCAGACCCACCTAGATCGTGAGGCGACGATTTTCGGTCGTGACGGACCGAGGTCGGAAGGAACTCCTCGCGCGATTGCGGCATGCTTAAGGACTACACTAACCAGCTTGAGGCATCGTCGTGAACCTTAACTGCACGCTGCTTCGTTAGGACTTGCCTCGTGCATCCTGCGCAGCGCTGACCATCGTGAGTATTTGATATGCAGGTTTCAGCAATGTTTCTCGATCGTTCATCCACGCATTCGACAACACCATGTTCGCTCGGTACAAGCTCGTCTCCTCGGCGGATCAAGCCCCGGATCACGCCTCGTGTTCGCATTCGGCGCACAGACGACACTATCCGACGATAGCACTGGTCGTGCTCTCAATCGCAAACGTCTGTGTATTGGGCTTCTCGATTGCCATATGGCGCGCTGCGGGTGTGGCCGCCACGGCGACCCCGGGAGATTCTCTGACCAGCCTCGCCGCATCCAGCACCCTTGAGGTTCCCAACGACCTTGCTAGGGTAGAGTCTCTTCCTATCGCGTATGTTCCTTTTCATTGGAATACGCCATGGGGTGCGCCCAACGCGACGGAAGCAGACCCGCTGTGGGACAACATCAACACCGCGCATGGACATATCGCGGTTGACCATGAGTTCGCAGCAGACAACCACGTGAGTTACCCCCAACCAGGTTTTCGGGAACGAAGACACCATCATTGAAATGAGCAGTGGTTGACATCTTCTACAGTGGCCTCGTTCTATGGACATACCCGGAATGCCTGGTAAAGGGATGTATCTTCTCCAAGCCTACCATCAGCTCCACTGCCTCGTACGTCACTTCTGTTGTTCAGTAAACATCAGGTACCTATGCATCTTTTCTAACCACCCCCATTCTAGCGTATTGTTCGCGCCTCATATCTAGCTCTGAAGCGCCAAGAGTTCCCGCCCTTCCCCTCGCATCACGCTTTGCATTGCTTTGACGCCCTGCGTCAACACATTATGTGCCATGCGGATAACACTCCGCTGTATGGTCACGGTGATGGCATGGCGGGTGACGGCCAGGTGCACCAATGTAGGGACTGGACCGCGCTGAGGGATTATGCAACGAAGAACACGGCATGTTTCCGCGATGGCAAGCCTGGTATGACCCTGGCGGACCACTTTGGTGTTTGTGACGACGGAACGGATGGTTTGGAGGCGCTTGTGCCTGTCACGACGGGGCCGTAGTGTATTCTTTTTATTCATGTACAACACTTTAATACATATTTTCTTCGTAGCCTATATACTCCGATGTTGAGATTGGTCAGAGCTGGTACAAACGCAGCATCAGTAGCACAGTCTCTTTACGATGTACCCTAAACATCACAACTTCAACTTTGTCGAGACTCTCCTTTCCGCGATATGTTACCACGATAGATGAGATCACTCATCATACCAAGATACGTAGAGTCCAGACCTCAGTAATTGTGCAACCCTCACTTGTTTCGTTGAATGAAGACGATGCAGCTAGCATATCACACAGCGTGATAGAGCGCCATCCTGTGAAGTTGATGCATTAGGCAGTAAAATGGGGAGGAGCTTACATGACTCTCTGGTGATTTGAATGCGTTGAAGCCATGATTCCATCGTCATCACCGAATCGAGACTGGAGAACGTTAGCCACAATGTACCGCGGTATACTACAGTCTAGGTGTTGTATAGCGATGAGCTAGTCGAGCGTTGGTGCAAGCTGCCGAGGCGTCTGTAGCTCAACCAGCGACCAGGTAAGTGGTAGCGAAAAGGGTGTGCCATCTGGACAAAAGAGTGCTAGTAAATGTGGTCTGGCCAAATGCGGTACCGCACAGCGCGCGTTGGGCTTCGATTTCGGCAGTGCCAAATAGCTTTTGGAGGCGGGTAGGTTTGCGTACTAATGCATGGGTGTAATCCCATTGGTTGGGTCATATGTACCGCACAGCTCGGAGATGACTCCGCCCAGCTAGTACAAAACCTTAAGTGACCACGCGATAGATCTGGCTTGCGGTACATACAGATCTTGCGTGTCGGACACCACCGACGTAGGGACTCGCTTAACGGCAGATCAGCGACGTTAGTATCCGTGCCTGAAGATCGAGAATCTGTAACGGGTGGTCTGGAAGCCTCAGCGATTTGAAACTTCGTAGTGCGAACATCGTCAGGCGTTGGGTTCTGGCATCCAAGGCGCTTCGGAGTGCGAACCGGTTGCCTTCAATTAGCACAGAGTTGACGTACGTCAGGGGTTCAACAACAGAAGATTTGAGAAGACGTCGTTCTACCAAGCCACCATGAACGACTACAAAGAGCTGGCAAGATCCCTTCATCTTAGGATCATCAGCTTCAATCATCTCCAGCTCTTCTATCAGCTCCTCTCAGTCATCTCGGCCATCACACTCTTCTGTGTTTCCGTGCTATCAATCGCTTCACAGCTTCGGATTTCACAATGCAGTTCACTACTACTACCCTCGCTCTTCTGATTGCTTCGGCAAATGCCTCTCCTCTCCTGGGCCTCAAGCTCGGTGGCCTCAACGTCGGCGTTGCTACTTCCAGCGCTCTGTTGGACGTGAGCGTTGGTTCCGGATCGGGTTCTGCTGCGAAGGCATCCACTACGTCCACCATCACCGCTGCGCCAACCGCCGCTTCCACTGGCCAGCCGACGATGCCATCGAGCTTCTCTGCCCCAGTCCAGGGTCACGGCGTGCTCTCTCTTGAGAACCTTCCCGCTATGCCACCTGTCATTGACAAGACTCTCTCTGGTGTTCTCGGCGCTGTTGTCGGTCTCCGTAAGTATACCCTCTACCGCATCTCCACATGAGTTTCCTGTGCTAACGGACATCCTTCCAGTATCTGGAGTTTGCAACACCGACCACAAGTGCACCGTTACTGTCGCAGGCTCTCTCGAGAACCTGCTCGTGGACGGCGACAAGTACTCCATGAACAACACTGTTTCTGCATGGTGCGCTGAGGGCCGCTGCTACGGGTCTGCCGAGATTCCTCTTTCAGCTACCGCTCCCTTCGTCATTACTTGCGACCAGATCTCTGGCCACAAGGCGTGCTCAGCCACCATTTCGGGTATTGCCCGTGCCATCTTCGCCAACGGAGAGCAAGTCGGTAAGTTTGACGTACCTCGAGGAACTCCGAAGAGAGATGCTGACAGAATACAGAACTTTGGGGCTGGTTGACTCCTGCTGGATACTGCAAGAACGGTGTTTGCACTGCTTCCATCACCGCTGTTGGTGACCCCATGTACTAAGCGCGACCTGCCATTGGTAGTGTTGTGATGGCTGAGATGACTGAGATGGGGCACCGACACTTGTCATTCCTTGTTCCACTTCGTGGCCGGGCCCAGTATGAAGTTTGATTGCTTCAGGATTTGATCGATACAGGTCTATTACGATGTAATGTTTTTTTGCGGTATCCCGCGAAGCGTTGGCGCCGGTGAGCCAATTAGCAATGAAGTACTTAATATTAAACCAACACTTTTTGATTGAGAAGGACTACCCTGATATTGCGAAATGACAAAGGAGCACACCTCGATTAAGCTTTGACAAGCGCGTCGTTACGAGCCGTGCATTGATGACTGAGATGACTGAAGCTTAGCCGGCCCGCATCATCGTTTTCCCGCTCCTGCTCATCTAAATTAAGTGATTTCCAACACCAATGCCGACTAGCCTCAGGCACCCAATGGCGCCACAAACAGCGCGATGGACGCATCCAGGCGAGGTTCCCTCCTGTTGCCTGATTTTGTTCGCAGTCGTTTGATCTTCTTCACGGTCGTTGTGTTTGTGAAGATTCTGTCTGACCCCATCCCACGCGCATGTCTCTGCGCATCCACTCGCTTTCTACTTAGTTAATACTTTAATAATGTCTTCTTCTACTCAGCAGCAGCCGCAAGCTGTGCCGCAAGCGCCTGACGCGATCTCAGGAGGGCCTCCGTCTCCAGTCCCAACGCCCCCTCCAAAGTCCGCAGCCAGACTGTCCGACGCGACGAACGCGAACTCAACCTCGTCTGCGCACGCGACCTCGCCCAGAATACCACGCTCGAGCAGCCCTGCGCCGGGTGCTCCCACCATGGCACCCCCGGCGTCGATCCCGCACACGACAGCTCCACAGGGCGCCGCGACCGAGACCGAGGAACGCCTTTCATACAACGACAAGCTCAATGCTGCCGACCGATACTGGAAGTTCAAGTTTGGCCTCAAAGCCGCTGCTATCATAACAGGCTTGATCGGAGTCGGATGCTTTGGCTGGCTGATGTCCACAATGGACAGTGAATACGACCCGGACTCCTCTTACTCAATCAGCTACGAAAGCTACTGGTCGCTATGGCCCAGTCTGATTACTTGGGCTGCCTCGATAGTCTGGTGTGCGCTCTGCATAATCGTGTTCCTGCTGCGCAAGCGACCTGTACATCCAGGTGTCCGCGTAGCGATGGATCTTCTTCTGTGGCTTGGCTTCATCGTAACGGCACTGTTCTCTCTTATAGCCCTCCGGTACTTAATGAGGTGGGGTCTAGACGGATTCGATACGTGGGGTTGGGGGTACTCATACAGCAGCGATGGAGAATATGTCCTGGCTTCCAACAACACATGGGTATGGGAACAGGACACGAGCTACATCGAGACTCCTCGAGACTGTTCCCGATCCAGTCAGTTTGACAGCTGTGAGGAGCAGGACGCCTTCGTCAACAAACTTTGGGCCGAAAAGGACCATCGCTCCAATGTCACTTTGACCGGTGTGGTATGCCAGTTCTTCGGCCTGGTTATTCACTTTGCGCTATTTGTCTGGGCTTGCGTTGACTGCCATCGCCACCGCCGCCGCACAACCAGCAAGGACGCCGAAAAGCTTGCTGCTGAAATCGTGCAGAACATGATCAGTAATGGTGCTGTTGTGCCGCCACCAGGACAGGCACACATGAAACCGCAGCCGGGCCAGGTCATGTACTATCAGATGCCGCCCAACCAGCAAGGGTACCCGAGCCAGCCCCCAATTCAGCCCCCGTATATGCAACAAGGACCGGGTCAGATGCAGCAGTTTGGGCAGCAGTTTGGGCAGCACCCACAGATGACGCAGCCGGTTCAGCGCATGGCGCCCGGACAGTACCCAAAGGGTCAACCTAGCATGGCAGCCTCGGATCTTCCTGAGAAGATTGCTGGATCCCGTTACGCTTAAGCGAAGAGGTGGACATGTAGTACTATTTTCATTTGAGGTTGAAGGAAGTGACATTTTCTTGGCGAGATACCCCAGCGAAACCTACCTAATAGTGTAAAGTTTATTCAACAGTTGACATCCATGTATCATCTTCGCGATGCCTTGTGCTAGTGCTGCAATACCTCATCCGAAACATTGAAGACGCGCAAGGTGGTGTCATCACTTGCTACGGCGATCTGTTGTGGCTCGCCATCTGCTCTTCCAGGTCGCCAGACGATCTGGTTGATTGTTTTCGCTGGGACCAAGTCTGCCTTGACCATTGATACTTGTGCCTGATCCAAAGCATCTGGCGATGCGCTCGCAACACCTGTTTCTCCGTTCTCTGTGCCAAAGGCAAACATGATCTTTCCATTCGATTGCACACCGTTACAAGCTACAGCGGTAACAGCGGCGTTTGCTGATACGGTAGCCTTGAGTTGCACGTCGTTCTCGACGATCTGCCAGATCTTGACACTCTTGTCTCGACCAGCAGTCATGAATGTAGGTTGCTCGAGAGCCGTCCAGGTTGCACCTAGTATCATGCGCGAATGGCCCTTTGGATTCGAGTGCTTGAGTGTATATAATGACGGCTCTTCGCTGCGCTCCCAGATCACCCATTGTCTGTCTCGTCCAACACTAAGAAGATGTCTATCGTCTGGTGAGAACTGTAGCGCTGTGACGGTGAGTGAATGCGCCTTGAGTGCAGGCTTGACTTCTAGCCATTCTTTCGTATCATATAGACGTATGACGGCGTGGTCGATAGAGCTGGCTCGGCAGGCCGTTGCAACGAGACTTCCATCTCGGCTCACTGCAACAGCAGAGATCTCATAGCCGTGTCCGTACAGCTTCTCTGTCTCCGGCCATAGTAGGTGGCGTGCCAGATGATCCTCGAATGGTGGGTGACTGAAGTCTAGTGTCGATTTGCGAATGACAGAGGCAGGGTCGACGGCTTCACGTTCGTCTTCGTCGTCGTTCTCGACTGGCTCGTCGTCTCCCACAGCTTGAATAGCCTTATTCGACAAACCAAGGACGGGGATGTTAGCTGCATCCGGAAGCTCAGCAGTAGTTGACGCCTTGATACTGCAGAGACTTTGAAGCATCTCCGCTACACCTCTAGGTTCGTCGAAAATGCGTAGCAACTTCTCGTCTGCGCCCGAGACGAATTGAGTGTTGGAGACCGCGTCGATGCAATTCAAGTCGTAGCCGTGGATCTGGGGCCGCGAGAACTCATGCCATGATGCTGGTGTGCCTTCTCGTTTCCATTGTGAGTAGAGCCGACTGGTCTGATCGGATCCAGTGGAGAGCATGTAAGACCCATCTCTTGACCAGCTCACGCCTTTGACCTCACGCACATGCCCTGTGATTGCGACTTGCTGTGTCCACATATCTTCAGTAGCCGAGTACGTCCACTTCCTCCAGCTGCCAGTTCGCCCTAGTGATACCACAGTATTGCCATCTGGCGACCATAGACCAATCCAGAAACCTCCAGCACTACCGGTAGCGCTCGTCGAGCCCTTCTGCGCACTTATCTCGCCTAGTCTGGTGATGCAAACCCACACACCAGAGTTAGGGTCGGACTCCCAGATGGCGAGTGAGTTGTCTTCCGAAGCCGTGAGTAATTGGAGCTTTCCCTCGCGATGTCTCCACGAGGCCTGGTATATCCAATCTTCATGTCCTAGTAACAACGCTTCGAATGTAATGGAGTACTTGGAAGTAGCAGAGTTGATCCAGTGTGCTTTGTTCGACAGGGACTTTCCCAATCCACCTAACGCTGGGTCGTTGAGTGCAGTACTGGCAGCGGGAAGCTCGTCCCCACGGTGGAGGCGCCAGAGACGGACGTACTTGTCTTGGCTTGCGGATGCCAGCAATATATCGCTGTTCGGATCAGACGTTTCTCTAGTGAATGCAAGCGCGCGTATCCATCCTTCGTGACCGGTAAGAGTTGCCGAAAGCTGGAATTGGCCTTCTTGCGATACAAAGACTTGAATGGTGCTACGTGTGCCCGCAACTGCTAGCACTGTAGATTTGTCGTCCAGAGTCGCAAGAGCGAGATTCAGAGGGAAGTACTTTGGTGATAGTGTGATGGTCTGTACAAACTCGACATCGACGGACCCGAAGTCTGCATCATGAACAAGCTTCCAGATCTTGACAGTGCCGTCTGAAGATCCGGTTGCCAAAGTGTCCGACCCAGGCAGTACAGCTATTCTGGTGACTGGCTGAGTGTGATCTGAAATCGTCTTGACACAGTCGAAAGATTCGCCTCTTCCGCCTCGCCATATGCGGATTGTGTTGTCAGCCGATCCACTGAGCAGGACAGAGACATTGGACAATTGTGTTGGAAAGAACTTTACAGCGTTCACAGCTTTGGTGTGCCCACTCAGAATTGCTTGCACGCCACGAAGACTTTCGTCCTATCTTGATGAGTGAAGGTTGTGTCATTGGCCAGCCGCGACTTACCTGAGGATCCCAGAGTGCGATGCAGTTGTCTGCGCCGAACGCTAGCAGTTGCGACCCGGCCTCATCCCAGTCAGCGGCAGCGGGATTTCGATTGCCACCTGCAGCGATGAACTCAGTGGATATGTTCATTGTTGGGTCTAGGCGTTGCGTATGCGCAGGCACCGCATCTAGTCATCGCCGTAAGGATTTCTTTGGCGCTAGCCTCGCTTAGCTGCATTTGGCTCAGGGCTGCAGAGCAGGCGCAACCGATCTCGATAACATCCGAATCTCTCACAACCCTAGCATCTTACAGACGAGCAGAGACGAAATGTCAAACGATGAAACGATCCCAATAACGATAGAGTTCAGGTAGGTCGGTTGTCCTGCGAAATGGCGATGTTCCTCTCTAATCTTCTACAGCGGGGGCTTGGAGATCCTGTTCGCCAACCAGAAAAAGTATGATCTTGCCCTACCAGCCAAAGATGAGTCTGGAGAGCCAGCAAATGTTGCATTCCTTGTCAGATACCTTTGCGACAAGGTCATGAAGGATCCGCGGAAAGAACTTTTCGTGCTTGACGATACGGTGTATGTTCCTGCCCCAAGAGAACAATGACATGCTGACATTAGCTTCAGACGACCTGGAATACTGGTCCTCATCAACGAAGCAGACTGGGAGCTGGAAGGCGAAGACAAGTATGAGGTTCAGAGAGGCGATCACATCATGTTCGTATCTACGCTACACGGAGGATAGTCAAAGACCGCCAAGCCGAAATGGTATCCGCGTCGGAATCCACACTGCAATATACCGAATCACACAAACATCTTGCATGTGACAATATCGCATTGCAGCTGAAAGCACAAACATATACGGCCGGCGTATACAAGTTTGCGGGAGCCCGGAAGCGGTCCGAATGACACCTCACCCTTACGAACTAACCATAAGCGCTACTTAAGCTCGTGATGACAGGGGCCCCACCCCTCACGATATATGTTAGACTCCCTTCTAATGCGTATGTTGCGCCTCCTCATCTCTTCTTTGATTTCAATTCGCAATTATGGGCCGCCTTGACATCTTGCCCGCGCACGTCGACCCCTCCATCTTCGACGCGAACGATGTGTTCCTGGGCACCGGCGGTGTCTTGTACACAATCTGCTACGCCCTGATGGCACGCCAGTCCATTCGCGACCGCACATACGCCATGCCCCTCTTCTCGCTCGCATTCAGTAGGTGTATCTATACGGGCTGCATATGAGACATACTGACCCGGTACACCCATATTTAGACTTTGCGTGGGAGATTGTATTCGCGATATACGTTGCCGATGAGCTCCGGGAGAAGGCCCTCTTCGCCATATGGGGACTCTTAGACATGGGCATTGTTTATGCGGCTGTCACGTATGGCGCGAATGAATGGGGACATGCGCCAGCAGTTGGCAGGAATATCGGCAAGATCTTTGCTGGCATGTTGGTATGGTGGTGCATCGCGTTGTACGCTGTGAGCTCTTGGTGGCTTGATGTCGATCACCCCGTCAACCCAAAAATTGGAAAAGCGTACCGCGGCAACCTGGGCATCGACAAGGACGAGCTCGGTTTCTGGACTGCTTTGGTCGCACAGGTCGTGCTGAGCGTCATGTCATTGGCACAGCTTGTGGTTAGAGGAAGCAGTCGCGGCTCTTCGTATAGCATTTGGGCGTGCCGTTTCATCGGCAGTGTGTCGGGATTGACGGTGAATTACGGATATGTCTGGTGGGTATGGCCAGAGGCACACGGCTACTATGTCAATCCGATATCAGTGGTGATGATGGTGACATGGATACTGGCTGATCTGGGATACTTGGTGGTGTTTCGCAACGTGCAGCGGACGGGCGGGGCTGTCGACGGCAAAACCAAGTGAACGACTGTTGTAGAACATGGGAGTAGTCTACATGTGAGGAAATAGAAGCGCTAGCCATATGTCGTTCACTATATACAAAAGCGCATCTTCGTTGGTGTAGCAGAGCAGGCTGAGCTCAAAGCCGTGAGGACCCATATAGGTTGCCAAGCCTTGGTCACATGCTTTCGCGACAGCGCGTTCAAGGTCCTGCCATGCCGGATCGCTTCCGCTCCTCAACGAATCTCTTTGTTTACCCTATCACCGACATTCCCATAACAACCACATCTTGACTCTTGGACACATGGACTCTGATGATGAAGATCTCAAGCTTGCGATGGCAATGTCCCTACAGGCGAATTCGCCTCGGGCTGCACGCGGGAGCGCATCGGGCGATAAGCACGAGTCAATCGACCTCACATCTGACACTGAGGACGAAGATGACGACAATCTCCGGCGTGCGATTGCCTTATCGATGCAGGAAAGCGCGAATAATGACGTGCAGCAGTCATCGGCTTCGAGCGCCTCGCCAACGAGTGCGACCAAGACAGCAGCCGTCGTCGCCAAACCCCCAGGTTTCATGGGTATTGATCGGAAAGCGATGGAATTGGAACGTCTCGCAAGGCTCGGCAAAAGGAAGCGGGAGGCATCTCCCGAGGCACCTGCTAAGCAAGTTGCAAGAGCGCCTTCCGCAAAAAGCGATGCAGGCGAAACACCATTACAATACCCCAGTGGCGCGATCAAGCGCACCTTTGCGTCCAAGTACCCGCGAACTGACGACATCACTATCGAAGAATTACTAGAAGCCGATAAAGTCAATACCGCAGTCATCAGCTCATTTCAGTACGATTCGGGATGGCTATACGAAAAACTTGATCCGACAAAGGTCAAGCAGATCTGGCTGATGACTGGCAAGCACAGGGGCGAGGACGTTCAAGCAAAGCGCATACAAGAGTGGAGGGAGTCTCGCGTACCGAACATGAAGCTTCATTTCCCGCCTATGGGTGGCATGATAGCCAGCATGCACAGCAAGTTCATGCTGCTGTTTGGAAAAGAAAAGCTGCGCATTGCGGTCCCAACTGCGAACATGACACAGACTGACTGGGGCGAGGTCGCAAACGACTGGCAGCCCGGTATCATGGAGAACTCGGTGTTCTTGATTGACTTTCCTCGCAGACATGATGGTACTGTCACTAAGGCGAAAGATTTGACACCTTTTGGTCGCGAGTTGGTATACTTCTTGGAGCAGCAGGAAGTGGGTCCACAAGTCATCACCGGCCTGTTGAGATGCGACTTCTCGAAGACGAGTCACCTGGCCTTTGTACATTCCATGTATGTTCTTGATTACAGTCCTTGAGGGTCAGTGCTAATCCGAATTAGTGGTGGTTCGCACAAGACTGAATCAGTTCATCCTACGGGTCTCCCTGGCCTCGCGCACGCTATACGAGAGCTTCATTTAGACGACGTCGCATGTATCGAGCTTGACTATGTAGCATCTTCCCTCGGTTCCATCAACGATGCCTTCTTGTCGCGCATCCGTCTCGCAGCATGCGGCAGGTCGTTCGGGACAGACACTGGACCAGAACCTAACGTGCGCGATTGCTTTCGGATATACTTCCCCACCAACGAAACGGTCGAAAAGAGCATGGGCGGTCCTGACGGCGCTGGTATAATTACGTTGACAAGACAAGCTTACAACGCGCCATCGTTTCCAAAAGAATGCATGCGAGACTACGACTCGATGCGACGGGGGATGCTATCGCACAACAAATTGCTCTTCGCGCGAGGTCGTAGGAAGAATGGAAAGCCCTTTGCCTGGGTTTACGTCGGCTCTGCCAATATCTCTGAATCAGCGTGGGGAGGGCAGAAGATATTGAAAAGTGGGCAAATGGGGAGTCTGAACATCAGGTACGCAAAAAACACATTTGATTTGCATATGACATACACTGACTTGGTATGTAACATCACAGGAACTGGGAGTGTGGAGTTGTCATGCCTGTACCAGAGTCAAAGCTTCAGGGTCTCAAGCAGGATGACGTACCACCGATGAGCGTGTTTGACGGAACGATTGAGGTCCCTTTTCGAGTTCCTGCGGACGAATACAAGGGCAAACAGCCCTGGTTCTTCAGGTCATGAGCGAAGTTTAGTTGCATCGGTGCAAACGGCGACTCCGAAATCTTGGTTCTCCGGGCGGAACCGCTGGATACCTAGGTATTTAAGTTGTTTGGTGCGCATGTCGTGATCGGAGACATTTCCGCCCACCATGAGCCTTTCTGGCTGCACGCACACAGGGGGGCCACGCATACTTCAGTCACATAGCGATGACTTGGACCCAAACAGAGAGTAATGCAAGACTTTACATGGTCCTGGTGCAGAACGTATATGCCGTATTGCAGTGCACGTGAATGGACACGATGCCTGGTGTCGATCATCAGTCCATGGGTGAACCGAGTCTTCCCGGAGCAGCCGGACCAATGCGGGCGCGCTTGGTGGACGAAGCGGGCATTCGGGCGTCTTAGCAAAAGTTCCGACGCGCCTCGACAGCACGACGTATGAGCCATGATGACCGTATATGCATGCGCCATGAAGCTGTGAGTTCCGCCATGATAGTACGGACCCTTTTTTGTTTGCATCACGCATGTGTCCCCTTGATCTAGCCTCATGTCGGACCCAAAGCGCACGCGTCTCTCAGGCGATGCCTTGTTGCTGCAAGAGGGTAGCAATAGAGCCATGGCCGCGCCGCTGCACACCTGGTTCACTTCGCCCGCGCGGACGCACAGCAACTTAGCGCAGGCGAAAGAGCTGCCCTTGCACCTGATCCAGCTCATCCTCACACACGTACGTTGGTCTGCGCCCTGCCACGCGACGAGCTGTCCCAACCGAGCTCTACTAACACGCACGGAAGCTCGACGATGTCGGTGACCTCGCGCGCATCACGCGCACATCGCGTCTGTTCTACTACATGACGCTGCCGCGGCTCTACGAGACGGTCACGTTACACTCATATGCCGAGATACGATACGTAGATGGCAGGCCAGAAGGCTACGGCAATGGCAGCCCGTTTGCCATGGGCCTCAATACGCTCGTGTCGCGAAACTTTGGCGACTACATACAGACATTCCGGGTCAAAGGCGACTGGCGAGAACATGATACCGAGGAATACAAGCAGGGTCGAGTGCCGGACAACAGCATGATACTGCAGGTTGTCATGCGTGCCGCCATCGACAGGATGAAGAACCTCAAGGCTTTCGCGTAGGTGTCGTGCCAGAACCATACTGGACAACTGCTGATATGCCCAGTTGGGAGCTGAGCACTCCTCCATTGTATACCGTCTACCAGGGCATCGCAGCCAAGACATCGCTTGTCTCGCTCACCATTCGCTGTCAAACCAAACGAATACCACGGCCGACCACCATTATACCTCCGCTTCCGAACCTGACCACTCTGATCGTGTACGATATCGATCCTCTCTGCTACCCCGACGATATCTCGCTGCTTCTGCTGGGCTCCAAAAAGCTCGAGCACCTCACATTACACTGGAGTCCGCGCATGAGGGCTGTAGGCGAAGAGTCGGTTTCGCTGCACTCGTTATTCGGACGCTGCATGTCTGCCAAGTATTCTATACCCCTTAAGCACCTGGGACTGTACAACATCTACACTCGCTTCTCTGACGATGGCTTCCACCATGTTATCCGCCCCGACACCAATACAGAGCTCACTCTGATCAACGCCATGGGCTCCTCGGACCCTATGACCGTTTTTGCCGACGACTCTTGGAGGATACATAGTAATCACCCGACGCCTCACAACCTGAAGGTGATGCGCACCGATAATACGGATAAAGAGAGCGCTGTTATGCTAGGTAAATTCAAGGGCATGGAGCGGTTTTACATTGTGAGCAATAGGCAAGGCAAAGACTCACCAAGAACTACCAGCGCTGCTGCAACCCCAACAACACCGTCCACGATGACGCCGGGTGTCATCGGAGTTTCGAGCGCGAGCAGTACTCCAAAACACACGACTGATCAACGCTGTCGCAGCATCGGGAGTGAGTTTATTGCGGCCATTCAAACCAATCACAACCACAGCATTCGCCATCTCCTTCTCTCGGATCGCTGGGTATTATCCGACGATGCCCTGTTCAGACTTTGCCAAACGTGCTCTAATTTGGAGCAAGTTGGCTTCGCTTGCTCAGTGCCCCCGCTTGAGTCTCTGCGCCAGGTCTTTGCTCTAGTGCCCAAGCTCTGGGCCGTCCGTTTCCTATTCCGCCCAGGCTCTGACACAAGCGAGGCGCCGTATCAAGTCGCAGATGCTGACATGCATGCCTTTGCGATTGGAACAGAGTTTTGGCGACCGGAGTATAAGAACGTCAAGTACGTTGGCTACGGCGACAGCATCGTGCTCAAGCTAGGCGACGTTTACTACCCATCAAATAAGGAGTCGACACCGAGCAGCCATGACAATAGCTTGAACGCGAAAAGAGCAGGACCAATAAGAAAAGTTACAGTTGTGAAAAGGGAAGACGTAAATCACATCGAGATTTGGGGAAAGGACACCACAGAATTCGATCCCATGAACCCTTGATGCAGACACGTCAATGTGACAAAAGTTTTATGTCCATCGCGACGCAGCAAACGCAACGCTTCCTTCGCGCACACTACATCCCGGAGGCTCCCGGGGGAGACCGGACTCAGTCCCAGTAGGCACCGATGCCGCCAGATAGGAACCATGGCACATTTCCCGTCCACCAATGCCAAGAGGTGTTGACAGCGGTAGTCTGACTTAAGTGTTCGGATAGGACCTTTGTTGGAAGCCCACTTTGCTTGCCAAAAGCAAGCCAACAATGTATATTAGTACGAGGCAGTCGTGGAAGATGCGACTATGTACAACACAACCCACCAGGACCTCTTGGGCACCTATTCGATGCCTCAATTTCATAGAGTTCACTACGTTTCTTATTCCTGATTCACTCCTTCGTTTGCGCAGCTTCCTCAGCTCGGTCACCTGCTATTCGGTGTTTCGAGGTGACCACGGATATCTGCTAGATCTTAGCAACGACATATGGACACGGCGAGAAGTCTCAGACACTACAAGACAATATGGCTGAACAGAACTAGACGTAGTGAAGGGTTCTCCAGCGTTGCTTGTTGCCTACCGCAGCATCGCATTCGCGCCTTTCACTATCAATAGACCCTGCTCTTTGGCCTTAACACTCAACGTATTCGTTACGTAGACCTTATGGCATTTCTAGCCTCGAACCACCCTTCGATCGACGCATACAGCGAGTGGCTTACACTTTCACGGCAACATCTGACGACGACATGAACCCCAAATCCATCTATAAAGAGACAAACGAGCTGTACACCCCGATCCGCGAAGCAGGCAAGGGTACGTGTGGAAGCATCACATTCTGTGTATGCACACCGTCAGCTGTAAGCTCTTCCACGACTGACTCCGTGGCGCAGAGTGCAGCCCTTGTCGCCGTCAAGATGATCAGTCGAGAGATGTGTCGCGACAGAATAGCCGATGAAATCGTCGCTCTCGAACGCGTTCGCAGTTCTCTCGCCACCGATGAAGACAACAGCGTCGCGAAGCACTTTTCCACACTCATCGACTATGATCCGATCAAGGACGGTGGATCGGGCTGGCTGGTCGTCAGTCCTGTCTGTGGTTTCGATCTTGAGCGGCTTCGAGTCGTGGTCACCGCGATAATTCAGCCCTCGTCAGAAACTGATCTGCATCGTCGTTTTCCCCTCCCTGCGATACCGGAGGTACTTGTACTACACGTCGCAAAGCAATTAACGCAAGCGATCGGGTGGCTACATAACGTCGCCAATATCTCCCACAACGACGTCTTCGGCGGAAACGTCATGCTCGATGTATCCGCCTCAAGCAAAGCGTCTCATTTCACACTACCGACCGTGGTCTTAATCGATTTCGACCGCGCCACCCTGGACCCTGACAATATGGCAGAAGGCGCCGACCGCTCATACACTTACGAGCTCATATACATGCTCGACAATGCAGGTCGAGCGTCATCACGAGAGACGAACGTATTGGAAGATGTGATTGTGCGAAAGGAGTCGATGACCTGGTGGGACGCGTTTAGAAATTTTCTTGTTATTAACAAAGGCCAGTATCTCCAGGATGAGTCGGCGAGTTTCACCAAGTTCTGGGGAAGGTTTGGCGCGGATATCGATCGCTGGTTGGAGAATATAACAGGAGAAGAGCAAAGACGGGTGGAAGAGCTGGTGGATTTGGTCGCGAGGAAGGAGGTGCGGTTTCCAAGTGAGGAGAGGATTAGAGAGGTGTTGGGGGAGTAGGTGAATTGATGTTTGTATGCTGTTCCAGGCGAACCAGGGATGGATCTACAAGCCAGAGATGTCTTTACGCCCATCGCTACATGTACCTCTACTCCTTCACATGCGTACCAAATCCAATAAGGTATGGATGTGCACCAAGCTCACACGCTCCGCGTGCATGACCACCACCCCGACTACACGTACCATGATTGTACCAATGCGGGCAAACTTCCTCTGGACCCGTGGCCGACTTGTCAAGACCAAGTTCATCCGCCTCGTCCATATCGCTATCATCCGTTAGCTCGGGGGCACATTCAGATTGCGAAGTTTGCTTGTCTTCATTCGTGGAATCCTGCGCTGGTACACGAATCCCGTGCAATGAAAGCAAACATCTCATGTCCTGCTTATCTTTCCTCAGCTTCTCAATTTCTTCTTTGAAGACCTTGGTCTGCGATTCTAAAGTCTCTAGCTTGGACTTGTAGTACACGTTTGTGTCTTTGAGCACAAGGTCAAGGGCAACGACCTGCATGTCTGCGCTCGTTTTCGCCTTCTCGGTGTCTCGGAGCTTGGTCTCGTATTCGGTCTTTTTGGCTAAGAGAGAGGTGATCTCAGCGCGAAGGTCGTTGTGAACGGTGTCTGATTCGACTTGCCTGCGGAGTCGTAGGTATTTCTCTTTGTAGCTGTTCTCGGCGTCAGCTTTTATGGCAGCGAGATTCATCTTGTTGACGAGGGAGGCGAAGCTGTTGGGGTCGGTGGTATCGGTGGGTTGCTCGGGGGAGCTTGTTAGCCAGGAGGTTAACGTCATGGCTGTTTGTCTGTAGCTGTTCAGATGTTGTGCGGTGTGCTTGGTCTTGATGATGTCGATGGCTGGTAAGACTGAATCGTCGAATTACTGGGTGAACGGACGTGATAACATGGGAACAGCGAGAACTTCAAGAAATATGGCCGGGTTTCAGGCAGCTGTGAGCTTGAGACACGTGCATTGTGAACATGAGTCGAGGCCCCACCTGACCAATAATGTGAGCACACGGCGATGCGCAATGGGAAAGCAGTGTGTTTCTGTTCTCTTACTTGCGAATGTCTTGTTTAGTTGGATCTGGATGTACAGAAACACTGCGCGGTCAGGTATCGACATCATCAGGATCAGGGTCTGTCGAACGGCTCACACCAAGTGATCGAACTAGCAACTCTGTTCGCGAATGAGGAAATTCAATCATTACTAGATGATCAAGTAAGACTCTCAGCATCCTCATTGTGCATCTTAGTGTTCTTCTCCCTCTCCAAGAAACTCTCCTGCTCAATCCTACTCTTCTCAACGTCGACAAAGAAGAAAAGCCAGGCGCAGCTAACCAGGCTCAACGCGAACAAGAAATAGAAAGGACTACTGTTGTTGCCAGTATCATCGATAATGGCAGAGCTCACCAATGGGCCGATGAAAGCACTCGTCTTTCCCACGATCGAGAACAAACTGAAGAAAAGAAACTCTTTCCCTCTCGGTGTAACCTCAGAGATCATGGTCTGCGAATAGCTGTACCACGGGCAGACAAGCAATCCATAGAAGGCCTGGTATACCCAAACCTCCCACTTGTTGTGGAAACCGAAGCGCTGCGTCCAGATGCCGATCATGCCCCAGCCGTCGAGCAGAACGATGCATATGGCGACGACCATGAACATAGTCTTCGTCGATAGACCATAGTACTTCTGGATGCGCCAAAAGGCGCCGATGCCGACCGCCTGGGCAGCGATACCTACAATAAGCAGGTAGGTAAGCTGCAGACTGTTGTACGCAACAATCTCGTTCTGTAGAGTCCCGATAACCGTCACGGTGGTGTTGAGACTGTCGCCGAGGAGAAAGTAGCCGGCCAGATATGCCAGACTTTGGCGCAACTGCCAGATCTGTCGCATCGCGTATCCAAGCTGTTTGAGACCAGCTAGAACTATGTTCGCGCGTCCTGGGTCCTGACCTGGTCGTCTTTTCTCGAGGATGAACCACGGAAGAGCGCATAAGATCCAAACTCCGGTCGCAAACGCGATGAGTACCGAGAGACCCCAGTTGTTGTTCTCCGCGCTGTCATTAACGTGCAGACCGAACATGATACCTACGATAACAGCCAGGATGAGGATTTCGAAAACGGATTGAACGTAGAACGCTGTGTTGGAGAGCTCGTTTCGCTTCATCATATCGGCAAAATCGTATTCTGCGCGCGTAATCGTTCCATCAGCGAACTCTTCGGCTTTGACTCGCAACTCCTTGGTATTCCTTGCCAGTCCAGGGAAGGCAGCAGTCCAGAATGTGATTGTCGTTTGGTATGCGATAAGACCGACGATATAGAGACCCACACCAGCGTGCCATTTATCCTCGGTATGAACGCCTAACCAGCCAAAGCCGATTCCAAAAGCAATGACGGACAGGCCTATCAGGATGTTGGGGCGCCATGTACCAAAGTCGGCGAAAGAACCAAGGATCAAGAAAACGAGAACCTGGATGGCGAAACTGATGCCGTTGCAGAGAAGTACAATGGAGTTGATGGTACGGTCTCGGCCCATGAAGTACAGCACCTCGGAGTCTCCTGCAGCTTCATACATGAGGTTTTGGAAAGCCGTCGGACCGAAGTTGAAAAGAGTGAGGCCATTGTCTCCGACGTAGTAGCTGTTCGAAAATAGGATGTCAGCCTCAGCACAGTCGACGTACTGCGCTCCAATGAGTTCCTGCGCTGGAATAGTTTGCATACCAGTAATACGACCAGATCTCCCACTTCGATGTCTCGTAACGTTCGTCGAACTGGTCCGGTGCGACGGGGGTGTCTGTATCGACGGGTACGCCGACAGCTCCTTTGATTGGGTCCTCAGCCGGCGCACTGAGAGGCGCAAGGCCTGGCTCGTTTGAAGCCATAGATGTGAAACGGAATGGACGTAACGTCTAAAGGAACACAAAAGATTCAGATTCCAACATTGCGCGACTTAAAGCTTTTTCAGCCGGGTAAGTAGTCGCTTAGCGTACCCTGGCGATTCGTCATGGTCGGAGATAACCTCCTAGCAGTGCATGGGGTGAAGGTGCACCATGAGCCTAGGCCTCTAACGGCGCGGAATGTCGGAAGGATCGCGGTCGTGATGGATACTCCGCATGAAAAGAAGTGCCGATGATTGGAAAGAGTGGAAAGAGGCGCGAGTAAGACATGCAAGCTATAGCCAAGCCGAGCTTGGTTCGTCGATGATGTGGGGTGAAGCTTGAAAACCCTGAATTGCTGATAAGCTAGATCGTATCTGGAATAGCGCATATCCGCCACTGGCGTAGGTGATTGTCGAAGCCCCGCGCGCGGCGCGCAAACCTCAGTGTATAACATCTCGACATCTGGCACGCTTGCGATGATATTGCTACAGTCGATACTGTGAGCTGCTACCGCCAGACTCAATTACAATCTAGAGATGATTCTCACACTATAGTCCATGAGGATGTTAACTCAAAGGAGACGGTCTCGGAGACTTTCTCTACCACCACAACGCGAGATTGCATGTCAAATGGTGGTGAAGCATTCGAAGTGCACAGGGTGAAGTGCATCATCAAGGTTCTATAAAACTACAAATCTGGTATATGATACAGTTTCCAAGCCACCTTCCAACCACCGAGAGCACCCGTAGGAAGTCGCCCAAAGAAGACAATAAAGAAAACACAACGCTGTGAGCAATCCAAGGCCAGAACATCCACCCCCACCCGGCTATGTTCAGCCCTACGAGAGCCTGCCCTTTCGGGCGGCTGGAACTCAATAGGGCTGTCAAGCCAGGGTGGAGGGGAAAATACCAAGGATAGCAAACTCGATCCAAACAGAAATAACCAACTCACTTCAATGCCGCCAAAATGCAAAAGCCATGCGGAGTTGCGGGCAAGCATCTTGACCCTCAAGATATATCAAATAGGCCCAGCATCCTAATTCTGGGTCGGCGCCGGCTTCGCTTCCGCCCTCGTACCTAAACGTGAAGGCCGCTTGCCCGCCTTGGTCTGGGCTACAAGGAACTCCTCGTTCTGGTAACGCTCGTCTCCTTCGTGTACGTTGGGACACCTGTTGCCCTTGTCGCAAGTGCCGGCAGCATAGTTGATGCATTTCTGCCGCACACATTTTGTTCCTGATGCAACACAGTTTGAGCATGGCTGGCCTTCATCGCATTCGCCTTCCCACCAGTGACGGTAGCAGTTCACACATGGGACTTGAGTCGGCTCCGCCGGACCTGGCGTCTTGCGTCTCGGTCGTCCAGAAGGTCCAGAAGGTCCAGGTGTAGAGCGGGAAGAAGCTCGAGTTGCTCGTCCCGAAACAGAAGGCTGGCGTGAACTGTTTCTGCTAATTTCCATGATGGGCTCATTCTGGAGGCTCTCGGACCTGTGAGACATGTCTCTTGAACCACTCTCGTACGGTTGTGAGTGATTGCGTGAATGGGTTTGGTAGCTGCGCTGTTGAGGCTGCTGGAAGTCGGCTTGGTGCATCGGAGGCGTTCCATTCGAAGGGAGAGTCGAGTTGAAGGCCGTCTGAGTGTTGTTATCTTCTGTGGGAAACCAATCGCTGACATCATATGCGTCTCCGAGGTTTGGCTGAGAACCAACGTAAGCAGCACCAACATCTCCCGTAAGTGCGTTAACATCGAAGGTAAAATTCGAATCCAACTCTTCCATGATGGGAGCGTAGTTTCCCGCCACTCTCTGGTTCGTACCGTTTGTCGATAAGTTCTGCTGCTCAAAGTTCTGCCTCATCTTCCAGTTTTGCCCAGTGGGGGGTGCAAATTGACTCGAAGAGTGTTGCGCGACGTGAGGTCGAGGCGACGCCGCAGAAGAAGCTGAGCCGTACGAAGGTGTACGTCTCATAGACCCATGCGCCGGTGTCGACATCTGTGACCGGATTTGCGACTGAGCATCTCGCTGCATCTGTTGCATCGATAAGTCCCCGTCGTACGAGTTCATGTTTCCGGCCTGGTTGGTCATATGCTGACCACTTCCCATCTGTCGACCGACCTGCGGAGATGTGCGCATCAGGCCTAAGTTATGTTGAGGGAATCTAGGTGATTGGCTGCCGGCGTTACCCGCAGCCAAGTTCTGCATCAAGTGTCGCTGCTGCTGGGGTGACATGTTGCTGGGTGTGCGTCCTGGAGGCGCGGCCATCATGGCACCAGGCTGTTGCGAAGGACGCCGGGCGGGTGCCATCTGCCCTGCTGAGCCAGTCGACTGCTGTGACGAGCTTCGTCCATGCATGCCATTCGGTGCGACATGTCGAGCTTGCCTCTGCATTTGTGTGTCGCCCATGATAGTATCGCCGTTCGACCATGTGGTTGACAAAGGGCTCATGGCATTGGTATCGGAGGGAAGTGAGTTCGAGTGTGTACGCTTGAAGTCTGGTGTAGTGATACCGGCAGCACTGTGTGTATTAGCAATAGCTTCATCCATAGAAACGATGTAGGACTTACCCAGCTGCGTCAAGCCTCCTTCGCTTGTTAGAGTCGAACGCTCCCTGCGAAGAAGTCGGTTGGCTCCGTTTGGGAGGCCTCTGAGCATCGTTTGGCACAGGGTGCGATACTGATGCTGCTGTAGGCCGTTGCTGGGCTATCGCAAGCTTGGTATTGGCAGCACTCAGCGCAGCTTCAGCTGCAGAAGCCCTCTGTATGAGACCAGTCTGCTCTGAACGCCATTCAGCCTCTCTTTTCTGTACGTGCTCTTTCGCTTTCGTCTCAATGCCCTTCTTCATCCATGCGACATGTGCGGTCGCCTTTTCTTCTATTGTCTTTCGGTACTCAGCGTTCTCACTCTGCTTTGCTATGGTGGCT